TCTCGATGGGTCGGACGCGACTTCGCAACTAACAACCATGATAAGTCGCTTCATCCAGGCTGGCTTTCACAAACGTATGGCAGAGAGAGCATCTTAAAAACAGCCAGCTTGCAACCCACAAGAGTCAATACCGAAATATGAAGCCTGCTATTAAAGAGCCATTAATTGATTTTCCAACTCCATCCACCCCCCCCCCCATTTGTTGCTTTTTTCTCTTCGAAGGGTGCTGCAGTGCTTATTATCCTAAGATACTGGCGGCTGACACCAGGACGGAAAGAAAAAGACAGTTGAAAACCGACAGTAGAAGGATGGGAGAACCCAGGATGAAAGGTGGGGGTGGGGGGGGGTGTTTTCTTTAGCAAGGAGGGGAGGCGGCTCGCTCAGAGATACAGGAAGACTCTTGAAAATATCTTACGGACTAGATCCGTGATTTATTTATTTATTTATTTATTTATTTATTTATTTATTTATTTATTTATTTATTTAATTTGTATACCGCCCTTCTCCAGCAGGACTCAGGGCGGTGAACAGCCGAGATAAAACAGAGCATACAAAATTTAAAAACAGTTTAAAAGGTAATTAAATAATTTCGGCCCAAAATTTAAAACAACCCAATTAAAACCAATTTCAAATTAAAACCGAAACGGATGGGATCAAGCCAGCCCGGCTAGGTGAAATAAATAAGTTTTTAGGGCCCGACGAAAAGTCCGGAGGTCTGGTATCATGCGTATCTCTGGGGGTAGGTCATTCCAGAGGGCGGGTGCTGTCACAGAGAAGGCTCTCCCCCGGGGGTCGCCAGCCGACATTGTCTGGTGGACGGCACCCTGAGGAGGCCCTCTCTGTGTGAGCGTACTGGCCGGTGGGAGGCTATTTACGGCAGAAGGCGGTCTCGTAGAGTACCCCGGCCCTAAGCCATGGAGCGCTTTAAAGGTGGTTACCAACACCTTGAAGCGCACCCGGAAGACCACAGGAAGCCAATGCAGCTCGCGCAGGAGAGGTGTCACATGGGAGCACCCCGTCGCTCCCATAATCCCCCGCGCGGCCGCATTCTGGGCCAGCTGGAGCCTCCGGGTGCACCCCAAGGGGAGCCCCATGTAGAGAGCATTGCAGTAGTCCAGGCGGGAAGTGACGAGTGCCTGAGTGACCATGCGTAGGGAGTCCCGATCCAGAAAGGGATGCAACTGGCGTATCAGGTGAACCTGATAAAAATGGTGATGGCGAACCTATGGCAGAGCCCTCTCTGCGGGCACACGAGCCATCGTCCAGCTCAGCTCCACCATGGAGCATTCGCACAAGCCTCCCAATGGCTAGGTGGTCTTCAGGTCTCTGCTGTGCATGCACGGGGCGCATGTATGGGGGTGCTTGCATTGCATTTTGGGGGTTCGTGCATGTGCATCCCCCTGTGCCCCGTTTTGGGCCTAGAAGTCCTCCTGCATCAACCTGGAAGCCAAAATGGGTGTGGGGTGCTGCTCGAGGCCCCCTGGGCCCGTTTTGGGCCTGGAAAGCCTCCTGCACCTGTTGTGATCCGCCAGCAGCCTGCAGAGCTGTCAGCGGAGTCGGACAACAATGAGGCTGAGGAAGAACATGGGCCAGTCCTGGAGGCTGGGGAAGGCCCGGATGAGGACTCTGTGTCAGAGGCAGAGATGGGGCCAGGGCCATCGGGGAGTGATGTGCGGACTTCGGAGCCTCCAGAGGCTGACAGCAGAGAGGCAGAGGAACAGGAGGAGCCTGTTCCTAGTGCATGCATGCGAAGAGCTGCCAGAAGGCAAGAGCAGCTAAACCAAACAGGACAACTCGGGAGTAAGGCCAAGAGATGACTGGCCCCTCCCATAAGGCTTAAAAGACCAACAATGGCTCTTGGGAATTTTTTCGGAAAACGACGTTGATAGATTTGTTTCTTGTCTTGCTGCATTTATTTCTTGTCGGCGTCTTCTGCTTCTGAACTTTTGCCAAGAAAAGCCTTTGGCAGGTTGCCTAATTAGACCAAGGTTGGTGATAAAGCTGAAGAATTGTGTTATGAAGAGTTTGTTTTGAGTTAGTTTGATCTACGCTGAGAATGAGTTAATTCCCAGTTGTTCTAATAAAGTCTGTTTGTTTTCAAACTGATTGCGTCCGATAATACCTACTTGGGCCTGGGTCACAACAGCAGCAACGTGGAAGCCAAAACGGGGTGCTGGGGGTGCGGCACTCGCATTGCATTTTGGGGGTTCACACACGCACACGTGCATTCACATGTGCACCTAAACGCTTTGGGCACTCGGCACCACTGCACTAGATATACCCCCAAACTTCAGACTGGGACCTGCTGAAACTCCTGTGTCAGAATGCGCGCAGTGTGACTATGCGAGAGACAATCCAGGAGCAATCACATCAAAGAGACTTTAGTCTTTCTCATAGCCTGCAGATGTGTGGACATGCTCTCTCCGCTTCAGTTGTGCTTTATACAGTCTCCTTGTCAGCAATAATTTACTGTCTGCAGCCAGGATTGAAATGTTCCCGGTTCGGACCGGATCGGGCGATCCGGTAGTGATTGTGGCAGGTGGTTCGGAGAACTGGTAGCGATGGAGGGGCGTGAGGCTCCGCCCATCCTCCCGGGTGTTGTTACTTCCTGCTTTTAAAAGGTTAAAAAAAATTATTGTAGTTTTAAAGTATTGAAGTTTAAAGGTGGATAACTCAAAATTTAATGGATAATTTTTTGAAAGTTTTGAAACTTATATTTTGGAGAACTTTCTGCTAATGTATTAAGAGATTTTAAAATGTTTAAAATAAGATTATGGTTTTGTGTTTTTTTTTTCTCTTTTTTTTAATATAAATGTGAAATGTGATAAGAGAATTTATAAAAGGAAGGTTGAAGTATAATTTTTAAAAGGGGAGTGAACAAGTGTGAGAGAGTTTTGAATTCTGTAATAGTTAGCATATTTTAGCTTGTTAAATATATTCTAGAAAAGAATATATACACACACATACTAGGCAAAGGCCAAACAAACAATCAGCAGCTACAGGACGAAAGCACACACGGAGAGAGAGATACACCCCAACAGGGCCTCTCTTATAATACAGACTCTTAAAGTGGTAACAGTCAAATAACCCTGCTGACTCATTGCTACCATTGCATCATCAATACAGTATTACAGCATTACAGCAGCTGGTCAGCTGTTAAAGTATTTCCCTGACATCCTGATTGCTCCATGTGCCACTTAGGGGCAATTGGCCGGCATTGTCCATTGCTGAAGCTTTCCATTTCTTCCTGGTAGTTTGTGAAGGTTCTGATTATGAGTGATTGATCTTTCATGAATTCTTCCCTCGGCAGCCAGAGAAACCTGGGATGGGCCCTAGACCAGTGTTTCTCATTGTCAACCTTGGAGACTTTAAGACGTGTGGACTTCAACTCACGCTGGCTGGGAAATTCTGGAAGTTGAAGTCCACACGTCTGAAAGTCAACAAGGTTGAGAGACACTGGCCTAGACCAGTGGTGGGCTGGTGCTGGTTCAGACCAGTTTGGACGAACCGGTAGTTCCAACAATCAGTTGGCCCCGCCCACCTGCCCTATCCTATCCTACATTTCCTTCTTTCTGGCTCAGCTGAATCGCGCGTCACAGCTGATTTCCACGCCTCTGCTGTTGTACTTACCGGGGCTGCCTTAGAAGGTAAGCAGCTGAGCTTCAAATTGCTGTATTTTGAATGCTGTGCGCGCTTACACAACCAATTGTTAAATCGGTTGCAGCCCACCACTGGCCTAGACCCATGGTGATTTCCTTTTAAGACTGGGCTCTTGAGGGTAGAGAAATAAGAGAACCAGGATAGGCAACATAGCCCATCATTCTTATGGTTGAGAAGGACCTTCCAGTGAAGGCCCAGAAGAAGTCGCACCAAAATTTTGGGGATAATTTTTCCCTCAATTTTGGGAGTGAAGGGGAGGGGATGGAGAATGGCCTTGCACTGTTCTTCTGGGTTATTCCCTATCCCAATCAAGTAAAATGATCAACAACCAACTAAAATTGGGTTATTATTGCCTTCTAAATTTGGCGGTACAAAATAAGAGAGTTTCCAGAGCAGAGCCGGACTGGTTAGAATGAAGTACTGTAGGCTAGGTCACTGCTCACTCCAGGAGTTACGATTCTCACCGGCTCAAACCCGACTCAGCCTTCCGTCCTTCCGAGGTCGGTAAAATGAGGACCCAGATTGTTGGTGGGCAAGATGCTGACTCAGTAAATTGCTTAGAGAGGGCTGGAAAGCACTGTGAAGCGGTATATGAGTCTAAGTGCTATATCTGTCTATCATCTCTTCTATCTATCTATCTATCTATCTATCTATCTATCTATCTATCTATCTATCTATCTATCTATCTATCTAGCCTGTTTCCCCAAAAATAAGACCTCCCCTGATAATAAGCCCAATCAGGCTTTTGAGCGCATGCGCTAAAATAAGCCTGCCCCCCGAATATAAGACCTCCCCGAAAATATTTAAATGAGCTGGAAATCAGGTAAAACGGCAAGAGGAGCCCCATCTTGCTCCACATGCCCCAAAATAATAAGACATCCCAAAAAATGAGGCCAAGTACTTATTTCGGGGTTCAAAAAAAATATAAGACAGGGTCTTATTTTCGGGGAAACACAGTATCTATCTATCTATCTATCTATCTATCTATCTATCTATCTATCTATCTATCAGCTGTGGTGGCACAGTGGTTAGAATGCAGTGTTGTAGGCTAACTCTGCCCACTGCCAGCAGTTCGATCCTGACCAGCTCAAGGTTGACTCAGCCTTCCCTCCTTCTGAGGTCAGTAAAATGAGGACCCAGATTGTTGAGGGCAAGATGCTGACTCTGTAAACCACTTAGAGAGGGCTCTAAGGGACCGTGAAGCGGTATATACATCTAAGTGCTATTGCTATAGATGATGAGGTCCTGGAAGGTGCAATGGGGGCCCACCATCCCCAGCAGACATCCTTTGACAATCTTACTCTTAGAGGAAGTTTCAAGTCACCTCCTCCACAGCTTACCTGGCCAAAATGAACGGTGATGGGTCGTCTGTCATCTCGGAGTTTGGGGTCCCTCTTTTCAGCCAAGGGAGACGGCGCCATCCTTGAGGTCGGCTCTTCTGGCATGGCCGAACAGCCATTTTCACTGATGTCCTGCCCGGGAGAATAAACAGAATTACATCACTCTTGATTCTGAGGGCGAAAAGCTCTATTCAGGATGCCCGTTGCGGCTTCTACAATTTCCCAGAAACCCGTAACTCTGTTTATAGGTTAATTAACCAGCGGGTTAAAAGCCAGGTGGGTCTACGAGAGCCCGTGGCTTGTGCACAGGACTGTGGGGAAGATGTGGGGGGGGGACATTGTATAATGAGCCAGGTGAGATTTGGCCAAGTTGAGGACAGAGATGGCTGCCGCACGATGTCCCTGAAGATTAGAAATAATGAAAAGGCTTGCCGCGCAATAAAGCCAGCTGTACAGGAAGCTTCAAGTTTAAACTTCTTTGTGACAATGTCGAAGGCACTAATGCCTGGTAAATATATAGAGACATGTGACCTCAAGGCCGGCTGCTTTGATGGTTGACCTCTGACCTGCCCCCTCAAGTTCTCCTCTGGCTTAAATACTCTAATGAGACCGGTAAGCTGATAGCCAATTAGAAAGCATTCTTTTGGGGGGCACAGGATGACCTCAACCCAACAAAGCTTGGAACGGACCTCGTTCCAGATAGAAAAAAAGCAGAGGGACCTTCCATTGAGCCAAGGTTCTCCACAAGGGACCAACACACACACACACACACACACACACACAAATGTGTCACAGAAAATGAAGAACCTGTAAAAAATTTTAAAAGAAAGAAGGACTCCCCATCCAGGAAGAGACTTCATATAAACAGGATGCCACCATCTTGTCATTGTAGAACTTCCGCTAACTAAGCGGAGGTAGACTACTTTGTGACAAAGTTGGAGGCCATATCTGGTTAGACCAGGGGTCGGCAACCCGCAACTCTGGAGCCGCATTTGGCTCCTTCATCCTTCTGTTGCGGCTCCCTGTTGCTCAAACTATGTGTCACAACTGCCAATGTGCGACACCCAATTTATTGAGCTTTTCGACCCATCTTTTTTTTTTTTCAGAGTTCAAAATGTTTTTGTTGCCTATGTGGAAATAAAAATACGTTTTCTCTGTAGCAGGTCGTTGATTTCATAAATGCAACACACTACAGTTTTTTTTTATACGGAGCATAAAGGTAAAAAAATAAATAAATGATATATGCAGTATTATCTTCATTTTAGTTGTCAAAAGGGTTTTGTGGCTCCCGGTGTTTTCTTTTCTGTGGGAAATGGGTCCAAGTGGCTCTTTGAGTGTTTAAGGTTGCCACCCCTGGGTTAGAACAACAACAAAAAAGTTGATAAAAGAGGACCACATCGGTGCTGGAACTCCTTTGAAGATGCCTCTAAGACCACGGTTGAACATGGCAAGTAGGTCAAAAGCTTGTTTGCAGGTGGCCACAAAATACAACCATCTGGAAGGAAGGGGGACTCATACTGTCCTTCTGTTCTTGCCATTGACCTCGCCGATTCTGGGGGTTCAACGGAGGCAATGCTGGGAATGGGCCCCGCCGAGGCCGTTTTCTTTGACTTACAAAACCCAAGAAACGGCACCACGCTCTGTTAAGCCATTCACTTACGGGCAGCTGGAACGAAGCCGCCGATGCTTTTAAAAGTCCCATCCCACAAAAGAAGACAGGATAGGCAGGGAGCGCCATTTAATCGTCACGATCGTATTAGAGAAGGACCTCCGAGACACCAAGCTGACCTTTGCAGAATTCAAGCCAGCGTTTTCTTATTTGCAATTCAAAGCCAACGTTGGAGCAAACCAAGGGCAGAGAAAAGACTCTTGATTATATCCAAGGGGTCACCATTGCTATGCGCAGTCAAAGAACAACAGCCTTCCCTGTCTTCGGTGCATTTAAAAAATTTCTCCCGCTGCCGTCACTCCTATTTGGCGACTGGAACCTCAAAGGTGAAATGTAAGATGAGCTGTTCTCTTAAAAAAGCGGGACATTTTTCGTGCTAATGCTAAGAAATGGAGAGTGGCAGTTGGGGTTAGATCCTCAAATTAAGTCAGCCAGAAGATGGAGGGACACCATCAGCCAGAAGAAGCTCTCTTCTTATTCTCCCTCTCTTTCTCCCGCTGGTTGAATTCCACTTATAAAACGGATATCTGTAATTGAGGGTTAAAATCTGGAGTTGTATCTGGGGAAGAGAAGTGGGAACTGGTGGGCCTAGAAGACAGAAAGTTGTTCCTGGAGAACATCCGTGGAAGATCTCAAGGTCCAAGATAATGTCTTCATCCAGGGGTGGGATTCAAAAATTTTAGCAACCGGTTCTCTGCCTGGTTGTTGGGTGGACATGGCCATGGTGGGCGTGGCCTACTTGGCCTCCTGCACCACGGCAGCGGCGGGAGGGCGTTTTTGCCCTCCCCAAGCTCTGGAGGCTTTTCTGGAGCTTCTGGGAGAGCGAAAATGGCCTCCTCCGGGCTCCAGAGACCCTGCGGAGACTGGAAACGAGCCCGTTTCCAGACTTCTGGAACTTCCAGGAGGCCCCTTTTTCGCCCTCCCAGAGTCTCTACGCGGGCCCTGCACTTACCTGCATCCAAAATGGGCCGTGTGGAGACTCCTGGGAGGGGCAGGGCGGGGTGGGTGGTGCCAGACAGTCCTTGCAACTACCGGTTCGGCAAACCAGATGTAAAATTAGTATCTGGTTCACCTGAATTGGTCTGAACTGGCTGAATCCCACCCCTGGTCTTGTTGGCTTTGTCAGGATGAAAGGGAGGAGAATTGCAGAAGGAGAATAGGAACGGAAAGAAAACAAAGGGTTGAAGAAGATCTGCTGAAGTTTCATTTGATGCTTTTTCTTTGACGCTTCCTTCAAGCGTTCTGGGCCACCCAATGCCTTTCCGTGGTCTGATCTAGAAGAGCGTTTTCCATAACTGCTTTCAACAGTTGTTCGAAATAAAATAGAATAGAATTCTTTATTGGCCAAGTGTGATTGGACACACAAGGAATTTGTCTTGGTGCATACGCTCTCGGTGTACATAACAGAAAAGATACATTCGTCAAGAATCATAAGGTACAACACTTAATGATAGTCATAGGGAAACAGTCAATATAAATCTTAAGGATACAAGCAACAAAGTTTACAGTCAGACAGTCATAAGTCGGAGGAGCTGGGTGGTGGGAACGATGAGAAGATTAATAGTAATGCAGACTTAGTGAATAGTCTGACAGTGTGGAGGGAATTATTTGTTTAGCAGAGTGATGGCATTCGGGGAAAAAACTGTCCTTGTGTCTAGTTTTTCTGGTGTGCAGTGCTCTACAGCATCGTTTTGAGGGTAGGAGTTGAAACAATTTATGTCCAGGATGCGAGGGGTCTGTAGATATTTTCACAGCCTTCTTTTTGACTCGTGCAGTAGACAGGTCCTCCATGGAAGGCAGGTTGGTAGCCATTGTTTTTCTCTGCCGTTCTAATAATCCTCTGAAGTCCGTGTCTGCCTTGTTGGGTTGCAGAACCAAACCAAACAGTTATGGAGGTGCAGATGACAGACTCAATCATTCCTCTGTAGAATGGTTCCTCAACCAAGCAGGACTCTTATTGGGAAACTTCACCAGATGTTCTTCAGCTCCTTGCTTTCCTTTTTTTGCTCCCTGTCTTCTGCTTTTTCCTTCTTCCACCCGGTCAAAGCCAACATGATGATGGAAGACGTTAGGGTCCATCACCAAACATGTTCCCACCTGTTTCGGTGGGAACAAAGCTCTCCAAAGTGTAAGGTGACACCCGCCCCGCTATCATTTGGGCTGTCAGATCAGCGTGCGCCAGAAAGTGCAAATAACTGGGCACGGTGCTTAATCCGGGGAGGAGGCCCGCGAGCCGCATGCTTCTTTTGGCTCAGGGCCACCAAACACACGGCAACTACACACTTTTTAGGCTTGCTCCCAGGAAAGATGGCACCCTCGCAGGCCTGAAGTGGGCAGCCTCCATTCTTTTTGGCCGCGTCCCCGTTTGTGGGGAAGCGAAGGAACAGCCATTCCCACGTCAGGCCTTAATGTATTTGCTTTTTGTCTGTGAATATTTATAACAGTGGGGGGAAAAAATGCGGGACAGCTGGTAATGCATTTTGAAGTGTGTTAACAACACAGCACCAAACAGCTCTCTATTGATCACGTAATGCCTTTTTTTTTCTTTTCTTTCCTTTCTTTTTTTTTTTCTCCTCCCCCCCCCCCCCACTTCCCGGCCCGAGCATTTCTTCTGTTTTTCTTTCTGTGTTTTTTCCCCAACCCCCAAATACATACTTCAAGTACCTTTTGCTTCAAGCGAATTTTCACCTCCCTTATTCCCATTTTTGCATGATCTTTTGCCTGCATGAAAAAAAAAAAAAAAGAGAGAGAGAGAGAGAGAGAGAGAAAGGAGGGGGCAGGGGATGGAAAGAGAGGGTTGTTAGTTTAAGAGAGAAATCCCTATTTGGTTCCCCGAGACAAGGGGTTTTGCGAGCCCACCCAGGCCCACCTTCTCTGATTACTCCGAATAGGAGTGGGAGGTGGAGAAATGGACCATAATGGGCATAAAAACAAATAACGAGACAAGAGGTTAAAAAAACAATCCTTAATGAGAGGAAGAGATTTTGTTGGTGGAGAATATCCTGGTTTTAAAGAGAGGGATTCTTATTTTTATCCTCTAATTATTTTTTATCTCTGCTGCCTGCGAGGGGACTGAGGAAGAGTCCAACTTCTACGTTTGTCCAGCCTGCTGTGGAAGAAAAAACTCTGAAGCTCAAGACCAAGCAGGAGGTGCCACTTTTGGGACCTCTCTCTCAAGGTCGTCCTGGGGTCCCACCAAAAGAACCAGCCATGCGGAGGGCGGAGGGCGGGTGGCGCCAACGAAATCTTTTTTAACAAAGTTTTGAGTGCACCAAGTGTGGAAGGAGGCCAGAAGAAGCTCAGGGTTGACAGACAAGGAACTAACCATGATTCTTGCTCTACTACAGGAGTGTCAAACTCAATTTCATTGAGGGTTGGGTTCGGGGGTGAAATCCAGCAGGTTCTAACAGGTTCTGGAGAACCGGTAGCGGAAATTTTGAGTAGTTCGGAGAACCGGCAAATGCCACCTCTGGCTGGCCCCAGAGTGGAGTGGGAATGGAGATTTTGCAATATCTTTTCCCCAGGAGGGGAGGGAAAGGAGATTTTGCAGTATCCTTCCCCTAGAGTGGGGTGGGAATGGAGATTTTGTAATATCCTTCCCCTGCCATGCCCACCAAGCCACGTCCACAGAACCGGTAGGGAAAAATTTTGGATTTCATCCCTGGTTGGGTTTCGGGGTGGGTGGGGGTGGGTGGGCGTGGCCAGTGTGGGCGTGACCAGTTTTTCTTTTTTATATATATAAAAGTTTTTTATTTTTATTTCTCATAAAACATATATAAATGTACACTCTCTTTAATCATTCTTATCACACGTATTATCTTTAGGTTTCCACATATTGGTTTATTCCTCATCCTAAAACTTATTCGGAATTGCTCTTCTACCATTCCCTATCTCCCTTCTTCCACAGCAACCCTTCCTCTCCTTCTCCCCTCTTAACCCTTCCCTCCCTTTTTCTATTCTTTTCGACTTTCTTCTTTCCTCCTCTCCTTCCCCTTCTCTTCTCTTTCCTTTCCCCCACTCCTCCTCTCTTTCTAACCCTCTCTCCTACTCTGATTTCCCCTCCCTTTCTTCCTCTCCTTTTCCCTTTCTTCCTCTCCATCTCTTTTTCCTCTCTTTCTTCTCTCCATCTCTTTTTTCTCCCTTCTCCTCTCTCCTTCCTACCTGTCCCTCTACTCCTCTCTCCGTTGTTGTGTCCATCTTCAATTCAATATTTTGTCAAGGTGGTATTGGAGCAACCCCGATTTTATATTTACCCACATTTTCCTTTCAATTGCTTTTCTATTTTGCTGGTTAGACATATATCATCCTTAACGTACATTTATATTATTATTTATTTTATTAGTCATATTTCTGCGCCGCCCACTCTCCGAGGACTCTGGGCGGCTTACACCAAAGACAGTATACTAAATAGCATATTGCCCCCCAACAATCTGGGTCCTCATTTTACCCACCTCGGAAGGATGGAAGGCTGAGTCAACCTTGAGCCGGTGAGATTTGATCTGCTGATCTGCTGAACTAGCAGTCAGCTGAAGTAGCTGCAGTACAGCACTCTAACCACTGCGCCACCTCGGCTCATAACACCTCATATAACACCTCTTTTTTCATTTTCTTGAGTTTGACACCCTTGCTCTAGTAGGCAAACATCAGACTTTTCCCTACGTCACGTTAAAATCCCGCAAAAGTCTCAACTATAATTAAATACAATTAGTTCTTCACTTATAACTGGTTGCTTAACGAATGTTTGAAATTATGACGGACCGGCCTTGAAGTTACAGGCAATCCTCGGCTTACGACCACAACCGAGCCCAAAGGGTCTGTCATTACGCGAGGTGTTTGTTAAGCATGTTTTGCTCTATTTTATGACCTTTTTGCCACAGCTGTTAAGTGAATGACTAAAGTTGTTAAGTTAATAACTTGGTTAAGTGACTCTGGCTCCCCCATTGACTTTGCTTGCCCGCAAAAGGGGACTTTTGTTCCACCCCCCCCCCCGGACACTGCAACGGTCATAAGTATGAAACACTTGCCAAGCATCTGAATTTTGATCCTGGGGATGCTGCAAAGGTCATAAGTGCGAAAAACAGTCACCCCCTTCACCCCAAAAGGCTAGCTCTGGAGCAGAGGTGGGTTCCAGCAGGTTCTGACCAGTTCTGGAGAACCGGTAGCAGAAATTTTGAGTAGTTTGGAGAACCGGTAGTAAAAATTCTGACTGGCCCCGCCCCCATCTATTCTCTGCCTCCCGAGTCCCAGCTGATCGGGAGGAAATGGGGATTTTGCAGTAACCTTCCCTTGGATTGGGGAAGGAATGGTGTTGTGGCTCCGTTACCGGAGCCTGTGTCATTGTCAGGAGAGGACTCCGAGAGTGAAGGGGAGGAGTTGGCAAGGCCTCCCTCTCCAGGACCCTCCTCTCTGGCAATGCCTTCGGTGTCCGGCAAAGGGCAAGAGATAGGGCCAGGGCCAAGCACGTCCACGCAGCCACAGATGGACAGTGATGAGGGTAATGAGTCTTGGCTGGATCCACGCCAGCGTCGCAGAGATAAGCGCGCGCAACAGAAGAAAGGGTGTGCCCGAGATTAGGCTGAGTCACTGGACCGCACCCCACAGGATATAAAAGGGAGCGTGGTGGCCAGTCAAACCTTGTGACGAACAAAGCTGAAAGCTTCCACGCCATTCTGCATTGCCGGACTTTTGCTTTAAGACTTTGCTGGAGTTAATTCCGTAATTATTGAGCTGCTTTCCTTTGATGTACCAGGAGTGGGGAGAAGTTATCTCTCCTCTTTGTAAATAATAAACTCTTGGCAGGCAGCCACTAGGTTGTTGCCAAGTTCCGTTATCATAAGGAAAAGGATTTTGCCGGCTGGTTTGGTCTTTAACTCCTGAACGTCTGTTGGTGTGTGTGCGTGTGGGACGGGGACAGAACAAATGGAGATTTTACAGTACCCTTCCCATGCCACGCCCACCAAGCCATGCCCACCAAGCCATGCCCACCAAGCCACACCCACAGAACCGGTAGTAAAAAATTTTGAAACACACCACTGCTCTGGACACTTACAAATTTGTAGACTGTCTTCATAGCAGGATTTGCCTTGGTCTTCACGGTATTTAAAATGGCCCCACTTCCTTTCTGTTGTGGACGAAGGAAAAAAATAAGCCATCGGGATACGATACAGAAATGGGGCTGAGGTTGGGACATTTAATACACAAAATACACCGAATTATGAACATTGAACCAAATGAATTCTATATTAACGCCTGCAGACCTGTGACAACGATCAATGCATTGCCCGTAGCACCGGTCCCATTCGTCAGAAGGAAAGGGCAAGGTGGAATTTTTTTTTTTTTTTTTGACCTGAAAGGCAGACAGTTTTGCCTTCCTTTTCAAATTAAAGGTTGGATTTGGTCATGCAGGCAGCCCCATATTGCATGCAGTCGTCAGGATAAGCACGGAAAGGACTGCTTTCGTTTCAAAGCTCACAATCTTTGGATTGTGCCTGCAGAATCAGTGTCGGGTTTTTAACAACACAATCCAGCCTCTTGTGCAAATCAAAGACAGCCCTTCCACCTCTCTCTCTCTCTCTCTCATTCTCTCTGTCTTTTTCTTTCTCTCTTTCTCTCTTTTTCTTTCTCTCTGTTTTCTCTCACTTCTCTCTCCTCTCTCTTTCTCTCTCCTTTTTCTCTTTTTCTCTTGTTCTCTTTCTTTGTCTTTCTCTCTTTCTCTTTCTCTATCTCTCACATTCTCTCTCATTCTCTCTCTCACTCTCTTTTCTCTCTCTCCTCTCTCTCCCTCTTCTCTCTCTCCTGTCTCTCTTTCTCTCTCTCATTCTCTCTGTCTTTTTCTTTCTCTCTTTCTCTCTCTCTTTTTCTTTCTCTGTTTTCTCTCTCACTTCTCTCTCTCCTCTCTTTCTCTCCTTTTTCTCTCTTTTTCTCTCGTTCTCGTTCTCTTTGTCTTTGTCTTTCTCTGTTATCTCTCACATTCTCTCTCATTCTCTCTCACTCTCTTTTCTCTCTCTCTCTCCTCTGTCTCTCTCTCTCTCTTTCTCTCTGTGTCTCTCTCTCCTCTCTCTCTCTTTCTGTGTCTCTGTCTCTGTCTCTCTCTGTCTCTCTTTCTTTTCCTCTTTCTCTCAGGTCTGTAAATGAGGGGAGAAAGCATGCCAAGCAAATTTCACCCAGGCTGAACTTCGCATCCTGATGGCACCTCCAAAGGAATCGTCAAGATTCTGACCTCTCAGACGGAATCCTTAAGCAGTCCTGTTTGTGCTTTCTTTATCTGGCAGGACAAGATGTCTTGGGCTGGGTAATGCATTATTTTGATAAATAAAATTTAGCATGCATAAAGGAAGGGGCACTCCATTCCCTACAAGCACATACATACACAGAGAGAGAGAGAGACAGAAAGAGAGAGACAGAGAGAAAGAAAGAGACAGAGACAGAAAGAGACAGAGAGAGACAGGAAGAGACAGAGACAGACAGGAAGAGACACAGAGAGACAGAGAGAGAGAGAGAGAGAAAGAGAGAGAGAGAGAAAGAGAGAAAGAGGCAGACACGATGCTGGACTGGGGGAACTATTCTTTTAAAGCAGGAATACATTTAATTATATATTTGCTACTAATCAACAATTTAGTTTACTTTATTGTCATTGGACCTTGTACAACGTAATTAAATGCCATCTTCAGTGTACATGATACGTAAGAAAACTATATAAATAAAACAAAAACACACATCCTTCAGTCCTCTGTTAATCCAACAATTAACAGAGAAACACAATTACATAAATGGCTCTATTTTTGAGATACTGACTTTCTCTCTCTTCTCCTTTATTTTATTTTATTTTTTCTTCTTCTTCCTTCCTTCCTTCCCTTCCTTCCTTCCCTTATAATAAGATGTTTTGGAAACACAGCTCCAAAACATCTTGTTATAAGTGGCTCCATGGTTGAGATTCAGTTCTTTCTTTCTTTTTCTTTCTTTCTTTCTTTCGTTCCTTCCTTCCTTTTTCTTTCTCTCTCTCTCCTCACTTCTTTTTTTCTTTTTCTTTCTTCTTTCTCTCTCTCTCACTTTTCTTTTTTCTTTCTCTCTTACTTCTTTCCTTCTTTTTCTTTCTTTCTCTCCCTCTCTTTCTCTTTGACTCCCTCTTCCTCCCTCCCTCTCTTTTTCTTTCTTTTCTTTCTTTCTTTCTTTCTCTTCTTTCTTTCTTTCTTTCTTTCTTTCTTTCTTTCTCTTTTTCTTTTTCTCAAACCCTTCCTGTCTTTCAGCACAATCCTTGAAACTCTGTCACTCTTTCAGAATATCAGAGAAGCCAAACCAACATTCCCAGAGCTTATTTTACACCTTTTCGCTTCTTTAACGATCAAGGATGCCCAGCCATCATTCTTCACTGTTCAAAAACAGCTGGTTTGAAACAAAGTTCAAGGTTCTGGAAGAAAATATAACTCGGATTCTGCTTATTTATTATTTTCCCTGAATGTGTAAAAGAGAAGATTTTAAATGCCAACCCTCCAGAATTCTAAGATGGGGTGTGGTATTCAGAAATTCTTTATCAAAGGGGAAAACACATCTGCATATTCAGCCTGGGAGCAGAAATACTGCCTCGAATCTTGGGAAGAAATCCAGTTTTGGGGCAGAATTGAGGATGGCATAGGACGTAGCAGCTCTTGGAAGGGTGGAGGAGGAAGGGCAAGGAAGAGATGGAAGAAACATTACTGATGCTTTCAAGAAATACTTACCCGGACAGTGGACAGCCACTGATGGTAAAGCTTGGCACTCCCTGCCACAAAAGAAGAAGTGAAGTGAGAATGTCTTTGGGTCCTTCTGTCTCCCAGTGTTTATCCAAACACAGCCAACCACATGGAGTTCTGCCACCTGTTACCCCAATCAACAACCTTAAAACAATTCGGGAGAGAGATATCGAGGCCTCCTGAACAGCGGTGGGTTCCACATATTCTTACTACCAGTTTGCCCTGCGCGTGCTTTGCTCATGCGCACGCCTTCCACGCATGTGCCTGGTCTCGAAAATGTGGCTAAATAGGATGGCATTACATCCGGGCGGACCTGCAGTCGCCGCTACCGGTTCGCCTGAACTGATACGAACCGGCTGAATACCACCTCTGCTCCTGAAGATGCTTCTCTAAATAAAGGAAGAGAACTATATTTTTTAAAAGTTATTTGTGCTATTTGTATCCCCATCTCGGCCATCCCCCTGCTCCCCCATCCATCCACACAACTCTCCCCACTGTTGGTCTGGATGGAGAATTCACGGTGGGGACCTCTGGTGGCGAGAAGATAAACTTGAAGGCATCTGACCCTGCTTGTTGACTTGTTATCTGGGCCACAGCTCTAAGAATCTGAGTCACCCACAATTCTGCTTTCAGTGGAATCAGTACACAACGGTACATGAAGCCCTCCACTTACGACCGCAATTCAGCCCAACATTTCTGTTGTTAAGCGAGACATTTGTTCAGTGAATTTTGCCCCGTTTTATGACCTTTCTTGCCTCCGTTGTTAAGTGAATCACTGCAGTGGATCAGTTAGTAACTCGACTGTTAAGTGAATCTGGCCTCCCCTGGCCACAGTTGTTAAGTGAATCACTTTCTTGCCTCTGTTGTTAAGTGAATCACTGCAGTGGATCATTTAGTAACTCGATTGTTAAGTGAATCTGGCCTCCCCACTGACTTTGCTTGTCAGAAAGGGGATCACAAAAGGGGCTCACATGACCCCGGGACATGGCAGTGATCATAAATATGAGTCAGTTGCCAAACATCTGAATTTTAATCACATGACCGTGGGGTGGATGCCGCAATGGTCGTAAGTTTGAAAAATGGTCATAACTCACTCTGTTCAATGCCGTGGCAACTTCACACGGTCACTAAATGAATGTGTCAACTTGCAAAGCAATCCTGGCCTGCTCTCAAGTTGCCTTAGGCAAGAGGGATAGGAAAACAGCGAAGCAGCACAGCAGCCAAAAACAAAAGCACATTCCAGACATATTTCTCTCAAGGCTGTCTCCCAGGGTTACCCACAGTGGTCAGAGGGGAGTGATCTCTACAACCCGGGAAATTGCTCCGTTGGTGAATGTGACTGATGACACACCCTGGGGAGGGGGGGGGAAACAGGGTCAAGTCTGGGCCGTAAATTATGTGAGGTCAGAGTTGGCTTGACTTGCTGACATGAAGTTCCTAATAAATAACTGGATTTCTTTTGAAGCTTGGCTCGAGGCTCATTATTTAATTAGGGCATTCGTCGGAACCCTGACATAATGGTTATAATTCGAGGACTAGCTGTAACAAAAAGAAGTGGTTTCTCATTTATATTCCCAACCAATCTCCTCACCGGCATATTCGCCGAGGTTGATCTCTTCCTCAAAGACATCACTGAAGCCTTCTCCAGAGTTGAGAAGATCAAGACGACCATCGATGAACTTCAGGGGGGAGAAAGAGAAAAGCATTATCTTCTGACACTTGCTCTCTTTTTCCAGGAGGACATCTAGGAGAATCTAATATCTTCTTCTCAGCCAGATGTCTATGGAGGTTCTCAGTCCTCCTGGTCATGGTTGTCCCAAAGGTGCTTTTTCAAAAGGCAATTGGATTTTGTTTCTCCTTGAAGACATTTTGCTTCTCATCCAAGAAGCTTCTTCAGTTCTTCAGAAGGCAACTGGACTTTGATCTTCCTTGAAGATGCTTTGCTTCTCATCCAAGAAGCTTCTTTAGTTCTTCAGAAGGCAACTGGACTTTGTTCTTCCTTGAAGAGGTTTTGCTCCTCATCCGAAAAGCTTCTTCAGTTCTCATCTGAGAAGTCTCTTCAGTCAGAACTGAAGAAGCTTCCAAGATGGGAAGAGAAAAGTCTTCAAGGAAGAACAAAGCCCAGTTGCTTCTGAAGATCTGAAGAAGCTTCTCGGATGAGAAGTGAAATGTCTTCAAGGAAGAACAAAGCCCAGTTGTCTTCTGAAGATCTAAAGAAGCTTCTCGGATGAGAAGCGAAACGTCTTCAAGGAAGAACAAAGCCCAGTTGCCTTCTGAAGATCTGAAGAAGCTTCTCGGATGAGAAGTGAAATGTCCTCAAGGAAGAAGAAAGCCCAGTTGCTTCTGAAGATCTAAAGAAGCTTCTCGGATGAGAAGCGAAACGTCTTCAAGGAAGAAGAAAGCCCAGTTGCTTCTGAAGATCTAAAGAAGCGTCTTGGATGAGAAGTGAAACATCTTCAAGGAAGGACAAAGCCCAGTTGCCTCCTGAAGATCTGAAGAAGCTTCTCGAATGAGAAGTGAAACATCTTCAAGGAAGGACAAAACCCAGTTGCCTTCTGAAGATCTGAAGAAGCTTCTTGGATGAGAAGCGAAATGTCTTAAAAACGAAGTCCAGTTGCCTTTTGAAAAAGCACCTTCTTCTCAGCAGGTCCATTGGATGGAGTCCTTTGCCGTGAAGACCCAGGGAGGGAGGGAGGGAGAGAAAAACAGAGATGGAAAAATACACCAACGCCGTCTATTATGGAAGACAGAATAGGAAGAACGCACAATGCTCTTAAAAATAGCTCATGAGCTTCTCTGGTGTAGGGGAGGAGGGGGAAAAAAAAACAACCAACCACCCACAGAAAACACCTCGTTCTGACCCATAAATTACACTAATTAGGGAACAAAGTGGCCAGCCGTATTTCACAGCACGTTGCGAAACGGCGATCGTTCTTAATCACACACACGAGGTACCTGCTTGAAAAGCTGCAGCTGGATGGCGTTCTGCAGGAATTGTCGCATGGTGGCCGACCGGTGGGAAACGAAGGTTTCTTCGCAGAAAGTGATGGGCTCTTCCTGGAGAAAGAAAAATTGGGGAGAGGGGGGGGGTGTTTGTGAATGGACGTCTTGCCTGGGTCTCTCGAGGGAGGACAAATTGATGGTGGAAACCAGGGGTGAAATGCTACCGGTTCGGACCGGATCGCCCGATCCGGTAGCGATGGAGGTGGGTGGTTCGGAGAACCGGTAGCAAAAATCCCTGCCCCCCCCATGCCCAGCTGAGCCGTGCAATCGTCAGAGGCTTTTTAAAAAAGCCTCTGATGATCCAAGCTGAGTTGCCTGATCAGCAGAGGTTTTTTTTTTCTTTTAAATGCCTCTGACGATCCAAGCTGAGTTGCCTGATCGTCAAAAAATGGCCAGGCCCACCCAGTCACATTACCCACCACCACCAAGCCACGCCCACAGAACCGGTAGTAACAAATTTTAGATTTCACCACCAGTGGAAACCTATATCTCCCCATCCCGATGAACATGCTGTGGAGCCAAGCTTCCCCAATGAAGGACGTAGGAATCAAGAACCCAATTCTTATGTCTTTCTTTGAAGACGTTTATCCGAGAAGCTTCTCCTGCTCTGACTGGATGGCAGGGAGAGTCAGAGCTGAAGAAGCTTCCTGGATGAGAAGCGAAACGTCTTCAGAGAAAAACCAAGAAAGTGTTGTGGCCCGTCAGCGGCCTGTGCAGCTAGGAGCTGATTCAGACAGCGAGGAGGCTGGTGTGGTGCTGCGCCAGCAGCCTGTGCAGCTGGCGCTCGAGTCAGACAATGAGGAGGCTGGAGAAGTTGTGGTGCCAGAGGCGGGGATTCAGCCAGGGCCTTCAGAACCTCCAGAAGCTCCCATAAGTGAAGAGGAAGAAGAGGAGGAGCCTCTTCTCGATGCACGGGTGCGCAGAGCTGCCAAAAGGCAGGAGCGGCTCCTCAGGAGGAGGTCTCTTTGAGAGTAAAGCTGGGGGCTAACTGGCCACTCCCTTAGCCAATTTAAGGAACGCCGACTGAAGCAATTTGCAGGGAACAACTTCGTTCACTCTCCTTCGTGCCTTGATCTTAGTTCTCTGCAAATTGCTTCTGGGCTTTCTGCCAACCCTAGTAAGATTACGATTATTTATTCTTTGGATTCTTGTAGGCTGTTAAGAAAGTTAATTAAGAGCCTTTGTTTGAAAAAAAAAACTTATTTAATTTAGTAAACTAAGGTTTGTACAGACTTTGTGCGTGCTGCGTTCTTTGGGGTCCGTAGCTGGGGCAGAACAGAAAGTCCAATTGCCGTTTGAAAAAGCACCTTTGGGACAATCATGACCTGGATGGAGGACTAAGAATCTCCATAGACTTCCAACTTTATCAGTTGGAAGAAGAAGGGTTGGTGGGCACTTGCGGGAGAGACCTTCAACTCGCACCCAGAGTAGGTTTTCTTCATGGACGTACTCCAGGGGGAAAAGAAAACCAGCAAGTACATTTAATAAAAAATAAAATAAAATCTGGAGCCTTGGCACCAATGTCTATGGAGCTTCTCAGTCATCCAAGTCATGGTTGCCCCAGAGGTTCTTTTTTTTCAGGAGGCAACTGGACTTCCTTCCTTCTTTTTCCTTTTGAAGATGTTTCGTTTCTCATCCAAGAAACGTCTTCAGCTCTGACTTGGATGGTGGTGGGGAACGGAAGGATTTATCCTCCTTGCAGACACCTGGTCATTTGCATCCTTTGAGAGGGTCATTGAAGCGCTTGGAGGCTCATCTGAGTAGCGCAAATCGGCGTAGAACCTTCTTGGAACTTTTGAAAGGCCTGTGTTTTGCATTGTGTTGGATCTTTCAACAGTTCCAAGAAGGCTCCGCATCCATTTGCGCTACTCAGTTGACCCTGACGACACAGCTAAACCTCCAAGTGGCCTCAACGACTCTCTAAAACAATGCAAATGACCAGCTGTCTGCAAAGAATATAAATCCTTCCATTCCCCACCGTCCAGTCAAGAGTGCCCCCAACAATCTGGGTCCTCATTTTACCGACTTTGGAAGGTTGGAAGGCTTGAGTCAATCTTGAACCAGTCAGGATCGAACTGCCGAACTGCTGGCAGTCAGCAGTCAGCAGAATTAGCCTGCACTACTGCATCCTAACCACTGTGCCACCATGGCTCGTAGATAAATGGATGGATGGATGGATGGATGGATAGATAGATAGATAGATAGATAGATAGATAGATAGATAGACGGATAGATGGATGGATGGATGGACGGACATAGCAATCGATAGAAAGAAAGAAAGAAAGAAAGAAAGAAAGAAAGAAAGAAAAAGAAAGAAAGAAAGAAAGAAAGAAAGAAAGAAAGAAAGAAAGCTAGATAGATAGGCAGGCAGGCAGGCAGGCAGGCAGATAGATGATAGATAGATAGATAGATAGATAGATAGATAGATAGATAGATAGACAGAGATCAATAGAAAGATGGATGGATGGATGGATGGATGGATGGATGGATGGATGGATGCATGGATGGATGGATGGACATAGAGATAGATGAATGGATGGATGGACATAGATCGATAGAAAGATAGATGGATGTATGGATGGATGGATGGACATAGAGATAGATAGATGGATGGATGCATGGATGGATGGATGGATGGATGGATGGATGGATGGATGGATGGACATAGAGATAGACGGATGGATGGATGGATGGACATAGATTGATAGAAAGATGGATGGATGGATGGATGGATGGATGGACATAGAGATAGATAGATAGATGGATGCATGGACAAAGATCGATAGAAAGATAGATAGGTGGATGGACATAGAGATAGATGGATGGATGGATGGACATAGAGATTGATAGAAAGATAGATAGATAGATAGATAACAATAGCACTTATATACCGCTTCACAGTGTTTTGCAGCCCTCTCTAAGCGGTCTACAGAATCGGCCTCTTGCCCCCAACAATCCGGGTCCTCATTTGACCGACTTCGGAAGGATGGAAGGCTGCGTCCACCTTGAGCCGGCCAGAGTCGAACTGCCGAATTGCCGGCGGTATTGCATTAGCCTGCAATACTGCATTCTAACCCGCTGCGCCACCACGCCTCTGTCCAGCAAGTTTATTTCCCCTCCAAAGTCAGAGAGTCTCCACTGCTAATTCGTTTTCCTCCTCTCTCCAAAGGTAGGGCCAAGAAAAATCAAACCTCCCCCCCCATTCCTCCCCAACCCCCCTCCAGACGAATCCTGCCGGTCCGTTCTTCAAGAGCTCTGCCCCGCATTTCGAGTGGCCTCTGCCTATTTTTGCAGGGCCTGCCATCATCCCCCGCGAGGGAGGTTCCCTTGCAAGGGTGCTAATCCTGTGCGGAGTCACCCGCGATCATCATCGGCCCCGCCATCCACGCCGCGGCTTCCTTTCGCACCTCAGTCACGGACAAGAGCCACCCCGATGCCTTTCATCTCCCACTCACACACACCCCCACCCGCCCAGGAGCAGGAAAGGAGAGGAGAAGTGACCATCTAATGAGATCACGTGAGCACCAGGGAAGCATCTGGCAAAGAGCAGGCCAGTTTACACAGCTTGAGTTGTCGTGGAGACAAGCACATGACCAGCTCAGCACCACAAGTCTGGGGCAGCGGTCCAAGCGCACTCTTCACGCATTCTGACAGAGAGCAGATGGGCAACGAGTCGAGAGGCCAAAAGACACGGAGGAAATCTCCCGGCTCTGGCAAACCCCTACGCGCGCGCGGGTACCATCATCCTTTCCATCCCGGATTTATAGACGCACACAATCACACACGGATCTCATCGTGCCATTCGACACCCACAGCTCCGATTCCCAGCAGACCAGCGCCTGGCCCGTTGCATGATGAGGTGTGGTTCTCCGACCTTTTGTGAGTCACTGTGTGTTGTGTGAAAGCACGCCTTGGAAGAGAGCTGCTCTTCTCGTTGCACACCTCCTCTGTGCCACGTTTGTTGAGCAAACACAGGCAAAAACACGCACCCGTCTCGGAAGACGTGCCCAGAACGAAGCATCTTTTGGAGGCGAGTAGAGTAGAGTAGAGTAGAGTAGAGTAGAGTAGAGTAAAGTGGAGTTGAAGGGAAGGGAAGGGAAGGGAAGGGAAGGGAAGGGAAGGGAAGGGAAGGGAAGGGAAGAGAAGAGAAGAGAAGAGAAGAGAAGAGAAGAGAAGAGAAGAGAAGAGAAGAGAAGAGTTGGAAGGGACCTTGGAGGTCTTCTAGTCCAGCCCCCTGCTCAAGCAGGAGAACCTATACTATTTCAGATAAATGACTGTCCAGTCCCTTCTTAAAAACTTTCAGTGATGCAGCACCCACGATTTCTGGTGGCAAGCTGTTCCACTGATTCATTGTCCTCACTGTTAGGAAGTTTCTCCTTAATTCCAGGTCGCTTCTCTCTTTGATTAGTTTCCATCCATTGCTTCTCGTCCTGCCCTCTGGTGCTTTGGAGAATAATTTGACCCCCTCTTCTTTGGGGCAGCCCCTCAAATACTGGGAGACTGCTATCATGTCCCTTCTAGTCCTTCTTTTCTCTAGACTGGCCAAACCCAAATCCTGCAACCGTTCTTCCTATGTTTAAGTCTCCAGGCCTTTGATCGTCTTCGTTGCCAAGCTTCAAAAGAAATCCAGTTATTTATTAGGAGCTTCATGTTGGCATGTTCCAGGTGAAGCCAGCTCTGACCCCACGTAATTTACACCCCAATCATGACCCTCTTTCCCCGTCTCCCCCCAGGGTGTGTCATCAATCACATTCGCCAATTGAGCAATTTTGCAGGCTGTAGAGATCATTCCCCTCCGGCCATTGTGGGTAACCCTGGGAGACAGCCTTGAGAGAGATATGTCTGGAATGTGCTTTTTGGCTGCCATGCTGCTTTGCTGTTTTTCCATCCCCCTTGACTATGGCAACTCAAGAGCAGGCCAGGGATGCTTTGTGAGTTGACAAAGATCTCCTCATTCCTATCATGACCAACCAGCTGAGTTGCAACTACAGGTAGTCCTTGACTTATAACAGTTCGTTTAGTGACCATTTGAAGTGACAACGGCAATGAAAAAA